TAGTGTTCTTAACTGGATCCCAGGACTCGAATTAAGTTCACACCGGGAATTGGGATGCATTCAATGGCCTAGGTTTGGATTCGAAATCTCTCCCTTCCTAGCTATGTGACCTTGTTAAAAGTTTTGAAGTAGTAGCTCTTGCCTTCTCAATTTTCCAGTGCATCCCTTCCATGCCTGGTGGAACTGAATTTGACCAAACACCAAGATACCGTTTAAAGGAAACTTAATCCAACTGCCGAACTGAGTTCAGGTTGAACTGAACTCAGTTCAACCCCATGCAGAAGAACAGCAGTCATCTGCCTGAGCACAAAGACAAGGCCTGAGTTTTAGTTTTAATAACAAGAGATCCACCTCACCACTGGAGTTTAGCACCTGAACGCAAAGTCATTTTCTTTCATCAATAGCACAACTGTAAGTCAGCAATACATACACACACACACACACACACACACACAGAATATTATTCAGCCATAAAGAATAAAGAAATGCTACCATTTGTGACAACATGGATGGACCTTGAAGGCATCGCACTAAGTGAAATAAGTCAGACAAAGAAAGACAAATACTGTATGATCTCACTTATATGTGAAATCTTAAAAAAAAAAAAAATCCAAACTCATAGAAAAAGAGATCAGACATGTTACTAGAGGCGGAGGATGGGGGAGAGGAAAAATTGGAGGAAAGTGGTCAAAAGGGACAAATTTCCAGTTATAAGAAAAGCACCAGGGATGTAACGTAGAACATGATGACTGTAGTTAAACACTGCTGTATGATATACAGGAAAGTTGTTAAGACAGTAGATCCTAAGAGTTCTCATTACAAGGAGAAATGTTTTTCTTCTTTCTTTTCTTTTTATTGTATCTATACGAGATGATGGATGTTAGCTGAACCTTTTGTGATAATCATCACAATATATGTAAATCAACCCATCATGCTGTACACCTTAAACTTATACAGTGATGTATGTCAATTATTTCTCAATAAAACTGGAAAAAAAAAAAGAAAGAACCACTCATGACACAAAAGTGCCCTGGCCGGTCATGGGACTGGAAAGCTCAACATCCACAATCTTCATTTCAGTTGCCACAGAAATACCATTGCATAGTGACATTATGCCCCTAGCTTCTTAATCCACTTTAGTCAACAAGTTCACCAGACCAAGTATATTTTCTGCAACTTTTACTAAAACCCTTATGTTACACATATATGTCCTATTTGACAAATTCTGCTGAATTTAATGCTAGCACTAGCACAAAGTTTGTTTTTCTTGATGAATGAGTGTCATTTAATTTATTAAGCAAATGAGAACTAGGGAACTCCATGCATTTTCTTTTCAGCATGGGCTATTAAGTCTGGAGTGAAGTTTTATGCTCTAGCTCAATAATTATCATTATTCTAGGGTTGGTTGGTTTTTTGTATTCTTTAAAAATACAACTTTTTCCCTATCCCTTTCTTTTGTGATTATTGGAGCAGCTGCAGCCATCTTGCTCAGACAGGCAGAAAGAGGCTGTTTAAAAATAGAGCTTACATGAAGGAAGCAAAAATAAGAGATGGAATGAGAGAAAATAGGATCTGTTAACATCTTTTGAGCCCCTGGATCAAGCTGTGCCTGAAGCAATATTCGTGTTTTTTAATGAATTTCCTGTTGGCTTTAGCCAATTTGAATTAAATTTTCATTCATTTAGAAGTTCTAACTAACCAAGAAAAAATTTTATGAGATGATTATCTGACAAATACTGTCATTAGTGTAATTCATTTTCTTTAAAAAAAAAAAAACAAAAAACAAAAAACCTGGGTACAGTTTTATGAATAAAGCAAAGAAAGTGAAACTTTTGGACACTGTGTTTATGTCATGTCAAATTTATAATAAAAGTAGATTAAAAACACATTCTTGCAAAGGAATTAACATTAAAGAAAGTAAAAAGAGAGAAAAAGCCTTTTAACTGCCATTTTTATTGACAGTTCTCCACAAGAGCAGAAAAGAGGAGCTTAGTAAAGAATGTTTAGACACAAAAGCAAGAAAAGGAGGAGCATCACAAGATCTACGAGAAAACTAACTTTTCTAAGAAACACACACAATGTTCTAAGTGCAAACCTGGAACATACCTGCCAGACCAAATCAGGATCAAAATTAAAACTTGGAGCTTCCTGCAAGAAGATAAATCACAAATAACTTCATTCACTTTGCTTCCTTTCATTTTCATTCAGGTGACTTTACCCCCCTGGCTCAACTGGCTGGCAGCAGATGTGATGGCTGCAAGAAAACTGTCCCCCTGCTTTGATGTAAGCAGATAGCTCTCCCCAACACTCACCCCAAAGACACATATTTTCACAACTCTAAAAGTCCAGAGGGGTACGTAGAGATCTACTAGAACTACCAGACCATGGCTCTAAAAGTCCTTGAATTAGGGCAAGATTTCACAGACTTTCACAACAAACATCCTTTTCAAGTTGATGCAAAGTATATGTGTGGAGAAGATGAGTGGTCAGAATTTCACCCTCAGTTTCTCTAAAAAGGACGGAACAAGTAGGGATAACTTCTAAACCCTTAATTCATGTCATCTGCCTGAAACTACACATCCAATTTATTCTAGGAAAGCTCCTTTTAATTTTAGATTTCACCAAGGCACTAGATGACACTGATGTTTACCCAAAGGTGTTTAAGATAAAACACAACCGTGCCTCAAGTTCCAACCACCAGGTTTAAGGGTCAGTTCTATTTGGTAGTGAACCCTAAAGCTGTAAAATGTGGGTTTCCAATATTCCCTCCCTTTCACAGTGTAATGTATAAAATCGGATGAGATCGCAGCCTCTGTCACAAGCTACAAATGAGGCTGACGAGATGACTCTTTAACAGCTGCCTCCATAACTCAATTTATCTCTGTTGAGTATAGATGCTAATGGGACCCAGACTTCTCCACTGACGAAACAGAAGGCAGTGCTTTGTAAATTAACAGGCACCCAAAAGATAACAGGAAAACTTCAGGCTCAGTTCCCTGACAAATATATTGATCATCATTCGTCCTAAAAATATGTTCTTCTACAAATCAGCATCATTGGCATCCACAAAAGAAAAACTCCAGACTCAACCGACTGATAATATATGGACGTGAATTTGCCCCCAGAATCATGTTTTTATGCTTTCCCATGCAAACAGCCTAAACGAGTGTTTTTATTTACTATATTTTTCTTTTCTAATAAAACGTATGATACTAGAAACAGTAAGCCAGAATCAAACAGATTTTCTACTTATAAAAGTCACAAAAAAGTATTAATTATCTCTGTATAGAAACCTTTACCAAGAAAATGCCCACTGCCCTGGGAGAGGTGTCATTTCTGGTTTCTTCAGAGATTTCTGGAACTCATTCTTTCTTCTTTTAAAAAAATGATGCTTTGTAAATAGATTTTATACACACTCTCTTTTCCTCTACTAATTGTGCTAGGGACTGGGAAGATAGGTGTGGAGGTGGGCGGAAGGGGGACTGAATGCCTCTTTGCAAAAAAATAAAAAATAAAAAAATAAAATCTTTTGTCTTTTCTTTTTCCCTTTTTTTTTTTAAAAAAAACAAATATTAAAAAAAAAATTTTAATTAAAAAAAAAAGCCTTAACCAAGTTTCAGGTTTGGTTCCAATGTGAGGTGAGGATGAAATCTCAGTTATGAACCACTCCCCACCAGGTGTAAAATAAGTTTCTTTTCAAAATAAGTTAAAGTTACATAAATTCAAAACAATTGACGAGCCAGGATTAATAATTATTTTTTAATCCTATTGGTATTTGGTCTCTTTGATGATATTTTTTAAATTTGCTGCAATTGTGCTATGAGTGCCTTGACTCATGTAACCTCATTTGTGAGACATATCATTTTAAAGCAAATGTCCTACATTATTTCAACAAAAATCCACTTGGATGAAGACATCGTCACTGACTAGAAAAATAAATCCCAGGTCAGAACTGTACATGCCAAGAACTCAAGAGCTCGTATTAGTTTTTTTTCCCTAGGACTTGGGAATTTTTTGGCAGACAATTCAAAATCATGTGCTACAAGAAAGACAGAAAAATCATTATCCTATCAGCAAGCTTAGAATTCTCTCCTAGGTTGATAGTGACCAACAAACTCTCAAGAGTTAAACGCAACTGTGGAATTACCAGATTGCAACCATTGTCGTTACGTAATTTTTTTCCTCATGGAACAATTTAAATCAAGAATTATTTATTCTTAAGATAAATACTCTACTATTTGTTTCCTTCTGGCAAACACTGGAAGTAAAAAGACTTCAAATTTCTACATACTAACAAAGCAATTTGCTTTCATTTAGATCTGTTTCTTAAACAGAGATCACAGCTTGGCCATCGTCATTTACTTCATTATTCCTTAAATGCCCTAAATCCATCCAGGAGGATCTTTGATTCTTTTAAATAGTGTATCTCTATGCCTCCACAGCTAAATAGGGTACGTTGTGAGTATTTAATAAGTTGTTATCACTTCCAGACTTGGTTAGGAGAAAATACTGGAGTCATGAGCAAGTATTATTCTTTGAAAAGTAAATTTTGCTGACAGCATAATTTTTAATTATTTAACGACTCCATTGCATATAAAACAACTTCTCTTTGCCAAATCTTAGTTTCTCAAAGGTATCTTTTTATTGTATTGTGAATGGGAGGAAAAAAAGTATTATTCTAGCTTTAGAAATTTACTTTTAAAGCACACACAAAACCTCCCTTAGGGTTGAAAGCATTGGCTACGCTCTGGAAATGAGCCCAGCTGCTTTCAGCCAAGGGATACTTGAGCCCTTTATTCTTTTGCCCAGAAAAGCCATCTTAATTAAAGGGCCAATAAATTAAATGTACCCGGAAAGGCAAAAAGATCCAAAAGAAAAGCACCAACCAGGGTGCCTAGAGAAAAACACAAGTTTCATTTCTCGTGTGTATGTTAGGCATCATCAAGTTAGAACAAACTCCGGAGGCACAGCTGTTTTTGACAAATGTGAACAGCTCCTACCTTCATTTCAATGACAGTCTGGAGAGCCTTCGTCTTTGCTGGCTCCGGCTGAAGTTGGCTTCTTCGGTGCAATTCCTGGGGAGGAACACGATAGAAATAAGCCTGACGGTTCATCCTTCCTTTACACCATGACCTTTACACTGGCACCACTCAGCCCACCGAGTCCAGGTTCACTGTGCACAGACATAAACAAGCCACAGGTGCCTCTTCCCCTACCCTCGTTAGCATCCCTCCTGCCTGGAGCCTGCGTTCCAGTGAAAAGCTCCTGGCACACGCGCTATTTCTGAAACTTCCATCAATAATTAATGTCAACTGTGACAAAGCCAGCAAGTAATCATGGTCCAAATACTGTTCAACACTGGGGCTGTTGCCCAGCCATCAAATCATAATTTACTAAATTACATTACCCTGTGCTCCCAATACAAACACAGCAAGGAAACGGAGGAAAGAAAATGACTAACGTGGTTGCAAATCCGCTGCATGCATGGCATTTTGCTACTGAGGTAGGTTTGAAATGAGCAATTTAAAACCTTTTCAGTACAACTGTGTCACTTTTTGGAGTGAACTGATCTGATGAAACCCTGTGAATCTCTTGTTTCCTAATTTACAGTTTCGGTCCTTGGTCAAAATCACATCTGTGGGTGATATGTTTATGCACTCATGATGTCAAAAAATTAAAATTGGTATTAATATCAACAATGTTAGAGGAGAGACAAAAATGGTTAAAGCCAGATGTAGACCCAAGAACTTCTGGAATATGACAAATATTTCTTTAGGTAAAAAGCAAACAACATAATTACAATTTTAAGCTTGAAGGCTCACTTTTTCCATGCCTCTTTTCAAAAGAACAGTTCTGTCAAGACTTTGGAAGCTTGCCTTGGCAGAAAGAAGAGATAAAGATAAGGTTTGTTTAGTTCATGCTTTGATTTTCTTAATGATAATTATCAACAGTTTTACGAAAGTAGCCAATGACAGGAGTAAACAAAAGTGCTCACACACGTCCATGCTGCTGATACAATTCACCTATGTAGTCATTCCATTAAGACTTATTTGCTTCCAGAAAAATCATTTAAAGTCAACATGGAGTACTTCTAGGCCTTTACATTCCATTAGACCACAAACATAAAAAAAAAAAAAAACACCTTGGGTGTTAGAGAAGACCAACATAATTTCTAGCTTTCTGCAAGTAAGCATCAAAATTAACTCTACCTCCACCACCACCATCTACTATCATTGCTATTTCATAAAGATAGAACATGTTAATGGAAAAATTGTCAGAACAGAATCCCACAATAAAAGATAGTCCTTCCTAGGATAAGAAAACAGTCAACCTTTTGCCCAAATCCTATTACTTTGTTGTTAATTGCCAGCAGCCCAAGAAGACCTGTCATGGACCATGGTGCACACATCTAGGGACCAGCACTGGGGAATCACTGCTACAGCTCTAGACTATAGCCTATTTTCTTCTCAAAGTCATCACTGGCACAAATCAGCAAAACTACTTCTCAACCTCCAACTTGAGAAGAATTAGAATTAGTGCTTCCTAATTATTCAAAATGGTCTCACATCAGTTAGGACATTTTTCCCCCTAACATATCCCTGGAAGGGATTAAGTCAAGTATTGAATCCATTTTATGAATAGAGAAACAGAAAGAGAGCCTGTATCCTTTTGGAGGCCCTGGAGTGCAATGATCTGGTAACATTGGTCATTTTTAGGTTCTGTGGCGATAGCAGAGATTTTCTGAAGGAATGACCTTTTTAAAAGAAGCTGTCCTTTATTGAGTGTCTACACTGTCCCTGGCACTACTTGTCTCTTTCAAGCCTCAATACTACCCTATGAGGAGTATGACCTGTGTGGTGAGTCCAAGGGCCTGCTGATAAACATTTAACAACCTGCATCCACCATGGCCAACTTCAAGCTACCTTAAGTGGTATCACTGAATGCAGAGTTGGGAAGAGAGGCACAACAGCACCCCATTGTATAGTATTTCTACCACACAGACAAAATACATTAATAACCTTGATAGCATAGATAATAGCAAAATGTAACAAAAAATTAAGGAATTATGAGTTTTTAATACAATTTTTTTTTTTTTTGCTGAGAAAGATTTGCCCTGACCTAACAATCTCCCTCTTTTTTTGGTTGAGGAAGATTAACCCTGAGCTAACATCTGTGCCAATCTTACTCTATTTTTTTGTATGTGGGTTGCCACCACAACATGGCTAACAAGTGGTGTAGGTCCCTGCCTGGCATCTGAACCTGCGAACCTGGGCCACAAAGCAGAGCATACCAAACTTAACCACTATGCAATGGGGCTTCTTTAAGTGTGACTTTGTGTATTTAATTTGTAACATTAGTTGTTAAAACAAGCTTCCAAGATTCAGCTTTCATGAGCTAGTACAATCCATTCTGGCACAACATTGAGTGAGTCACATAAGGACTTCAACCTCCAAAAAAAAAATGCTACTTAGCCAGCAACATTACTTCCAAGACAGCTGGAGATCACTGGACCAATAAAATCTCATAGATGAGAAAAAGGAAAGTAAGTCACTTGTCAGAGTTGCTCTGTAGCAAATAGTAGAAGAAAGACATTTCATATGTCACCAATTCTGATACCATGTGGCATCAAACGCATCTTCAGGAAAAAAGCTGAGAATGAAATTCATGATAGTTTCATACCATAGCCAATTCCAGTTCCAGAATAAAAATCATAAGATAGTTTGAGGAGAGAGGTTAAGCTTGTATAAAACAAATAAAAATAATCAAGAAGCAACTAAGCAACACAATGAAAATAAAAACCAAAGGGGTAAAGGCTTGTGCTGTTATCATTTCTGCCAAGAATGAAAATATTTTTAAGGGCAAACATGCAATAACAAAGCTAAACTTGTAGCAATAATTTTGCAAAAATGGAAACAGAGTTCTCTTTGCTATAATTATACAGTTCTATTATAACATAAACCAGCTCAAAATCCAGATTGGGCTCTTACCCTCCATGTCACTCCCTAAAAAAATAAAATAAGGGACCGCCCCCTGGCTTAGCGGTTAAGTGCGCGTGCTCCGCTATTGGCAGCCCAAGTTCGGATCCTGGGTGCACAACGACGCACCGCTTGTCCGGTCATGCTGAGGCGGCATCCCACATACAGCAACTAGAAGGATGTGCAGCTATGACATACAACTATCTAGCAGGGCCTTGGGGAGAAAAAGGGAAAAAAAAAGGAGGAGGATTGGCAATAGATGTTAGCTTAGGGCCGGTCTTCCTCAGCAAAAAAAGGAGGATTGGCATGGATGTTAGCTGAGGGCTGATCTTCCTCACACACAATAAAATAAAATAAAATAAAATCTCCAATTATCTAAGAATTATAATTTTCCTATCTTAACTACATTATTTTTCAATCAATCCTGACTTCATAGTTTCTGAGGAGCACCTTAATTCCTAAGGTGTCAGGTAAGTGAAGATTGTAATCCATATGCAGTCTTCATGGACTGTCTGAAAGTCCCATCTCAGATACTTCATCCATCTCGTAAGAGTTAGGATCCTTAAAATGCTCACTCTGACTGTGGTAGAGAGGACCAGTTGCCCAATGAAGATTTGTGCTCCTCTTCATTAGTGTAGAGTCATTGCTAGGAAGCATCACCACCACCACCCTTGTATTGAGATGGAGACATGTGACTTATTTCTGGCCAGTGGAATGTAAGTAGAAATAAAACCTCATCTAAAAACCTCCTACCCTGTCCTCAAATCTCTCTCTTTTACAGTCTGCTGGATAAAAGTAAAGGACTTCAAGACCCAAGAAGACGGCAGAACACCAAGATAAAAGGAGCCTGGGTTCCTGAAATGCCATGTGAAAAGGCTGTTGAACACCCACATTGGATGGTGGTATACATGAAAAATAAACTTCTATCATGTTAGCCTCTGCATTTTCAGGCTTTATCTGTAGAGATCCCAGCTCTCTTTCCCTTAACTACTGCAATGGCTGCAAGGAAAAATAATACCTAATTAGCCCTGTACTGTTTGTTGCTTTTGAATCACAAAAGTGATTTTAATGTGTGCTTGCCAAATTTTCCTAAACAGACAGTTAAGATGAGTTGGTTGCTAGGTGCTCCAACTATCCCTAACCCACTGAAAGATGTACCCATTACGCACTGATTTTAAACAACTAAACAACCAGGAGTATCTGGTGTAGGTATGGAGGATGTGCAAGATTTAACTTCTCTGGTAGTTTTTAAAAGACAGTATTAAATCATCAAGTGCAGTGGTACTTAAGGCTTTTCCGGGTCATAGATCTCTGCAAGAATCAGATGGGAGGTGTGGATTCTCTCCAGAAATGCACACAAAAGTACACACAAAAAAATGGTGTGTACCATTTCAGCTGCTTCTCAGGGCCTGATTGATAACCCAAGAAGTTCATCTTTGAACCAGACTACAGGCTAAAAACCACTTATTGAGAGGAAAGAGCATCCTACTGGGAGTCAGGAGTCAAGAGCCTGCAGTCCCAGCCTGAGACCTTGGGCAAGGCCCTTCTCCTCTATGATCTGCAGAATAAGAGGCTTTATGAGTGGGTTTCTAATGGCCTTTCCAGCTCTGAGAACACATGAATTTTTAATAGGCAGCTGATTCTGAAATGCTGATCTCTGGCTGGTATTTCAAGTCACACCCATTCTCAGCTTTAAAAGCAGAGTAAAAATAAAATAAGAAAATTGGCAGCATCACAAAATTTAATATCTTACTGTGACACTGATCCCCAGGTTATATATTTTCCTATAATTTCACAACTAGGTTGGCCTTAGCTGGTCTAAAGCCACCAGTTCTTCCACGTGGTCACCATGGAAATATACCAAGAACCAACAATTTTGAGCATGAAATCTCAAGTGATTCATCAGGATGACATTTCTTGGCAGTTAATGCGAGTCTAGAGTCTAGTGAGTTAATCTGGATGGACACTAGCTTCCAAGATGAGCCTGACAGAAGAATGTTCCCACATACCATATACTTTCTTCAGTAGACAAAAAAAAAAAAAAAAAAAATCAAAAAATAACTTTCTTTCCACAGGTAATTTACTATTTTTACCTGGCCTTTCCTCCTTACTTTTATGGTAATCTACTGTGCAAAAAA